GTGATCATGTATTGTGTTATATTATATTTCTGGAAAATTTAAGGGGTAGTTATATAATAATTTTGGATGATCTCGGGTGGTCAGATACTTATGACCGCTACTGTAGGTTAAATAGTGGGTGGTAGTTAGATTATATAGTAATAAAAATACAAATAGCAAGAAAGATTTAAAAGGATAGCTAGAGTATAAAAAAAATACCCAATATACAAAAATAAATAGATTATATAGTGATAATTAAATTATATTATTTAGATTATATTGTGATAATTAAATTATATTATTTAGATCATATGGTAGTACTCAGATTATATAGTAGTATTTAGATCATATGGTGGTATTCAGATTATATGATGCTATTTAGATCATATAGTGGTATCCAGATTATATAGTGGTAATATAATCTAAGACAAGTAGGATACCACCATGTGATATAATTATATCACATAGTGATATTTCACTACAGCAAATAAACATATTATAATTTATAGAGAAAATTGGGTTATATTTAGATAAAATTTTGTATTAATCGGGTTATGTTATTAAACATAATCAGGTTATTTATAAATCAAATTTTTGATTTTTAAAGTACAATCAAAGCATTTTCAATTTAACTATAAAATCAGATTATTTTCAAATTTATTTAAAATATTTCTAGCAAATTTTCTATCATATTAAATCCTTAAATTTTAACTAAAACATCATTTACAATGTAATCAGAACATTCTCAATGATATTCAAGGCATTTTTAAAATTTCTGAAAAAAAATAAGAGTGTATTGAATAAAAATTTTTATAGGGTATTTCTGACAATACATCTACAGGTTATGGTATATAATAATTCGTTATCGAATTTAAAATTAGAAGATTTAAAACTTTATTTTTTGCTATGATAACTAGAGACACTAAAACAAAGATAATCAGCTCCAGAAAGTTAAAAAGTTAGCCTTGATTATATTCCTAAATAAAATTTTATTTTATCCAAAGCTTCGAATATTCAGAAAAAAAATTAAATAATTTGAACTTTTCTTTGTTAGCCTAATTTTAAACTTTGCAATTATAATATCATGCTCAATATTGATATTAACTGGATGATCTGCATGCACCATATATTAAAAGGCATGAGTATTAAATGACAATTGATTTGATAACTGAAAAAATGCAAATTGACATAACTTACATTCTTGGTAGATCAATATTCACTTCAAATCTTGTAAAGAGATTATTTACAATCTCTGTGCTGTTTTCTTTAATTACTAAATTCTTTGCAGTAATAGTGATAGTTTGATCATTATCAGCAATATCAATTTGTACTTGTTTTTTTGTTGAATTCCTAGGGTGTGTATTTTAACTATATAAAATCTATTGCAAAGAGATTTAGTTGTACGTAATATCAAATGATACAAGATATTAACTAATATAAACCCTTTATTGTTATCATATAACGCATATTAGGATTTATTTAGCGAAGACTGTTTTACAGGTTTTGACTTATCTTTATCAGTTTGTAAAAAAAGACTAGCAGATGATGTATCAGAAGGAAAGACCGTAGATGAAAGAGATAGAGAATGTATCTTTGACCCTTAAAAAACAAAGATAAATAGAACATCAAAGTGTATATAATGTAACCAATTTATATAAAAGCAAACTTACAATAATATAATCAACCGTTGTCTTAAACTTGAAATACGTTAAACCAAAAAATCTGATTATATGGTCATCTGATCTTGTGAAGGTTTTATCTTTCATTTCATTAAAAATCTTGATACATCATAGTGTATACTAAAATGCACATGTCCCCATCCATTCGCTTGTTTTTTCAAAATATGTTCAAAGCATAATAGAGTAGCTTCTTACAACCACGATTCCAGTTCTTTATATCGTAAAACCTTTAATTTTTCCTGCTATAAGAACTAATAATTCTGGCTTTTCGCAACATATTTATTTTTTATAAGGTGGTAAATCTATAATAGTAAATAAATATTTAAATACAACGTGAATTAACACTTCCTCATGTAAATAGAGGAGAGGCTAATAACAGATATACATTATGCAGACAAGAGGCATGCTCATGTACTAGACGACAGACCCTCATTTTTCAGAATATTGGCAATAGTTCTTTAAATTTTACAAATGAATATAATAAAAAATCATACTATTTCCTATTCTATTGTCATTCATAATTAGATACTAGATAAATATATAAATAGGTTAGTTAAAAAAGCCTTTGATAATAGGAGTAAATCTAGTAAAATAAATGTTTTATACTATATCCAAATTGTTTGACGCAATAAAGGAATAAAAATGTGATGTTAGAATTGGAGAAGTGTTTTGATTTAGAGATCGATTAAATTACACGTCTATTTATTATACAGATTGATAACAACTCATGACTTATTGTCACTCTGATATACACGTGACCACATCGTACCTTTAAACTATCTCACTTTTAATCTCTTCTCTTATAATAAAAATTATTAATTTCAAAAAAATAAAGATAAGATATTTATTACATTACCATTGTTTCAAAAATTGGGAATCTTTGATTAAATAATTTGAAAAATCTTTGTCATCTTTTAACATATTTATTATTAAATATAATGCTTTTTTTGATACCATTCCTGTTTGTCTTAGTACATTCAAATAATCTAATAGTATGAAAAATATTAGAAAATCTGATTAAATATATGAACAAAAAAAAAAAAAATTTTAAAAAATAATAAAGAAAAAATATATTATAATTATTATTATTTACTCTTCTTTGAAGGTATACTACTCCTTTTGATTGTTCAAAATAAATTTCAATTAATACAGGTTGATTGATCATTTATTTATAAATCATATAGATTAATTTAACTAATCCTTGCTTAAGGAAATTATCAGTATCTGATTCATATGATATTAATATTAATCTTTGTAAGGTGATTATATTTCTGATGTGCTTAAAAGTTTTGGTGAAACATTAAGTATGGAATGTGTAAAAAATTTTAAAAACAAACAATTTTTAGGAAACAAGAGAAAGAAAGAAAAAGAGTTATATAATCTACTTACATCATTTTTAGCGTATTTTACTAAATCTCTTAATACATTATTATCTAATATGAATTCAATACATTTCCTTTGCACCTTATTCTCATCATATATGTAACCAGCATTAAAACTGTGACAAATTCTTATTTGTATTTCTTTTTCTTTAATCGTTCTAATTATATTTTTCAAATTTACTGGAATCTTTGTTGAATTTACATATATCAAGTTACTTTACTCTACAATTGGTTTATTTAATAAATTAGAAAAAAAAATTAAGCAAAATTAATTTACATCACAATATGATATATATTAATCTAAAAAATTAACTATATTTTTTCTAGTTACCTTTGCACCTTATTGTGGAAATACCATTATAATAATTTTTTATAGATTTCCACTCTTCTTGCAATTCTTCATCTTTAGATTTAATATGTGGTGCTATAATTTCAATTGCATGATTAATTATCCTTGTTAAAAACATGTTTCTATATTTACAATTGTGATAATGGATTATTTAATCAATCCTTGAAATTTTTGAATTTGATTCTTGAAAAAATATATTTCACACACACACACATACATATATATTATTTTTTTTAAAAAAAAAAATTAAAAAGATGTATGATTATTTTTAAAAGAGAAAAACTCATCGAATTGCAAATAATAATAATTTGAAGAACTCTAAGAATGAACCGTTTCTTTTTGCATACGTTCAGTACATGCCCAAAAAAGTCAAATATTTAAATTGTTTAAAGATTACTAATTATTTGTTAACCGATAATTTTGGTGAGATGACTCGGTTTAATTACTTAATTTCCGATAACAATTACGATAAAAATAAATAAAGAACGTGTGTAATGTATTATTTTCTAAACTTTTTTAATATAGAGATCTTTATTTAGTTCTATGTAGAAAATAAAAATCAAGTTTTTTAAGTGAAATGCTAGTTTATAAATATCGTAGCACATAAGGATACATACAGATTTGTACCACTAATTTTTGGTATAAATATTTTTTCCTTTTCGCAATACTTGATTTCAATTCGGTATGGATTATTTAAAATCAATTTCTAGAGTTGTATTAGGCAAAGATATACCCTCCTTTCCTTACAATATTGGAGAAAAAATTGAATCATTTGAGGGCCTTTCAATATGGTCTTTACATAATGGAACTAAAAAGGTAATGAATTCTCGGATTTATATTTTTAATTATTTGATTAATTTGATGGTTGATCTTTTTTTATCAATTTAGGATGGCGGAAGTTCTGTATCTGTTTTCACTTTTGATTGTAACAAACAGAAAGAAAAGATACAATTAGCAAAGAATGCATTTAAAAAATTTCGCACAATTCGACATCCAGATTTATTGAGATATTTAGATGGTGTTGAGGTAAAAGGAATTTGAGATTTGGGATTTTACACGTAAATTTAATGATTTAGCATCCCAATTTTCGGTTTTGCTTATTATTGATTTTTAAAAAGACAGATACTTTCATTTATATCGTGACAGAATATGTTTCGCCTTTAAAAAATCAGTTAAGATTTCATGAAGATAATAATTTGAAATTATGGGGATTATATAAAGTTGGAGTAAGTGATTATCTAATCTGAATTACCTGATTTATTTGTCTTAAATCTTTAATCTTCTTTTCATGTTTAGAGTGCGTTGAAATTTTTGAATGATGATTGTTCAATAATTCACGGTAATGTTCGAATTTCTTCGATATTTACCAACAAAGCCGGGGAATGGTTGTTAGCAGGATTTGAACTTATGAGTTCTATGAAGGAAGAAAACCCAGTAATTTATGTAAGTAATATATAAGTTCTACTATATATCTTTGTCATCGACTTATTTAATTCTTTCTTTATCAGACGTTTGGTAGTTTAGTTGTTGAATCGACTAAATACGCATCCCCGGAAGTTTTAAAAAGTTCATGGAATGTTTTGAAAGAGTAAGACTTGTTTCAAAATTTTTTAGTTCATGTATATATACACAAATATATATCCCTCTTTTTTTAATAATAATCTTCATAATTCAGCCAAGAGATTTGGGTGATTGATTCTTGGAATTATGGAATTTTGATATATGAAGTTTATAATGGTGAATTCACATCAGCAAAACAATTAGATAATATAAATTTAATTCCACAGGTTTCAATACTTTAAAGAAAAATGATTATTCTCATTATTAGAATTAATTTCTAAATAATTTATTTTTCTTAGAATATGCGTGATCAATATAGTCAGTTGGTTGCTACTAATCCTAAGCTAAGACTTAGTATCTCTTCTTTTATTAAAGATGGGCTGAAGCCCGTTGGAATTTTCCAAAATGATCTAGTTCAAATTAATTTGTTTTTAGATAATATGAATATCAAAGAATCTAGAGAGAAAGAAATGTTCTTTAAGCATGTTTATAATTTTATTTAATTTATTTTATCTTATTTACAAAAGTTTCATTGTAATTAATTTCAAATCAAATTTTTTTTTTTAAAAAAAAAATTCTATATATATAGAAAGTTGAACAATTGCATTGACAATTTCCCAGAGAATATTTGTAAGTACAAAATACTACCTGAACTTATTAATGCTTTAGAATATGGGTCAGGTAAGTAAAAATTGAAATAATTAAACTACTATTCTAGAATGTCTGTGTCAATTTTAAATCAATTTGTATAATATAGGAGGTGCAAGAGTATTGCCACCTATAATAAAGATAGGAAACACTCTTGATGATACAGAATATGAACAATTGATCATAACAGCGATTATAAAAATGTTTGCTGTACCTGATAGAACAATTCGTTTGAGTCTATTAGAAAATTTGGGATCTTTTATTGATAAATTAAGTAATAAGGTTATCAATGATCAAATATTTCAACACGTGGTGAGTTAAAATAAAAATGTTTCTGATAAATTATAAAGTGTATATATTATCATCATCATCAAGTTTCTTTTTATTTTGTTATAGGCAACAGGATTTACAGATACTGCACCTATTATAAGAGAAAGCACTGTCAAATCTATTCTTTTGATTGTTTCAAAGGTACGATTAATTAAAACATATATTAGTGAAACTTTGTAACTTGCTTTGTATTTATATTTATATTCACATTTTTCTTTTCACATTTTTTTATATTTAGTTATCTGATCGTATTATTAACAATGATTTATTAAAATATCTGGCCAAATTACAAATGGACGAAGAACCAGGAATAAGGACAAATACTACAATTTGTCTTGGAAAAATAAGTAAATATTTGAATGATAGTGTGAGTAATCATATTTATTTAATTAAAACACCATTTTACTTTAATATTAAGGTGTATTTCTCTTTAATATAATTTAAGACAAAGAAGAAAGTGCTTGTGCCTGCCTTTACGAGAACATTGCGAGACCCGTTCCCGCATGCTAGAGTCGCGAGTTTGATGGCTTTGGCTGGTAATGATATTAATTTTTTTTTTTAATTAATTTAATAAGAATTTATTTATTCAACTTTTGATATCGATTTATAGCAACGTCAGAATATTATGATGCAACTGATTGTGCAACCAAGTTATTACCTTGCGTGTCATTAGTATTGGTAGACAAAGAAAGGTCGGTTTCGGCATTTTCCTTTTTGAATCGTAAATTTTACTTAATACTTTTATTGAACAGGCCTGTTCGAACACAAGCTTTCAAAACTGCCGAGACATTTATAAAGCGATTAGAGAAATTGACCGAGTCAATGGTGAATATTCATTATATTTTTTTTTCAAATACATTTAAACTATTTCACGTGAAGAAATATTAACTTATTATTATATTTATAGCCCGATACAGCTATACCTGACCCAAATTCCACCGAAAATTCGTCGTCGTTAGCTGTCGCGGGTAGTGTTGCTGGAGCCGCAGCTAGTGTTGCGGAAAGTTGGGCAGGATGGGCAGTCACATCTATAACAAAAAAGGTAAGCCTTATCTCTGAAGGCTTTATTTATTTGTTTATTTATTAAGCCGAATTACTTACATTATTTGTTTGAAAGATTGCTGGATCAGGAATGGAAGGTGAAATTACTGCACCTACAAGTGTGACAGTTGATGCGGCATCTACACCTACAAAAGATAAAATGGGAAGTGAACACTTGTCTCCAAGTTTAAGCACAAAAAATGCTTTTCTCGTGGACCAAGCTGATCCCGATACTTCAAATGGATGGGAGAATGAAGATCATTTGGTTACCGTTGATAATTTAACCAAGAATGATTGGGGTAAGAAATAATCAACCCATTTAACGTTATTATTGTATTTTTATTTATCCTAGTTCATTTTTATTATTATTCAAACTTCCATTATAGAATTACAATCTTCATCTTCACAACAATCTTCTCATTCAACTTCAACATCAAATAAATTTAGTATGAATTCTGCATCGTCAGCAATGAAATTAGGAGGAACAAAATGTGGGTTTAAAAATACCTTGTACTATTATCTTCTTATCTTATATATAGCTAATTGTGTTTTCCTTTAGCGCATCTTACAGATGGATGGGATTTGGATGATTCAGATTGGGGTAATGGTGATGGGTGGGATAATAATTGGAATAGCTCACGGCCATTATCGACTGCTTCAAGCAAATCAACAAGTTCTATACATAAATCTCCAACCACTTCTAATGTATTATCGAAAGAGGAAAAGGCTGTCGAACTTAATAAAAAGAGAGAGGAGAGAAAACAAGTAATTTATATTCATTATTATTATTATTATTATTATTATTGATATTTTGTCATCATTTTAAAAATCTATGTTCATTACAGAGAATGGCAGAATTAAGAGAACAAAAGAAAAAGAGTAATGGACTCGGTGCTAAAAAAATATAATATTAAAGAAATAGTAATATTTACATAAAAGTTTACTGGTTAATTTATTTATTTTTTAAATAAAATAATAAAAGGAGGGATTTAATAAATTAATTTTTAGATTATTAGATAATTTTTTTCCCTTATATCATATTAATTTTTTTATTACATAATCTTGATAATTATCATCTTAAAATTAGTGAAATTTATTAAAATAAATCAAATCAAATATTGAAATTTGATTTGATTTTTTAAAATAAATTATTAATTTAAATATTTAACTAGCCAATATTTTTTTTTCAATACCCATAATATTTTTAAACTAAAGTATTACAAATCGTATGTTATATTTAGGGTTAGTTCTAAAAAATCGTTTTTATGTTTCTGTTAATAATGTAATTTATATATTATATTATTTTTATATTAGTTGATAAATCTTTTTATTATAATATTTAATTAATATTTTTAAGTTATTATGATAATATTGTAATTTAAATAAATATAAGTTATATAATAAGTTGATAATAAATAGGATGAATTGATTAGTTAATTATAGTTTTATAGTAAATTTAATTATTATAAAAAAATGTTAAAAGATTTTTTTAGAATGTTTTTATTAAAAATTATAAAGATTAAATCCTGATATTTTATATAATCTTTCATATTCTAGAAGCATATTTTGATTTGTCATAATGTTAAATGATCAAAATAAGATATTTCAAGTATGATATCTATTAAGAGCAACATAAGCTTATCTAAAAAAAATATATATTTCAATCTAATGCAAGAGATACTTTTGATAAGGTTAAACCTTAAGTTTTATAAACAGTAAAAGTAAAAGAATTTTGAGATGAAAATTATATATAATGACAATTACTTCTATATAATTCAAAATAATAAGTTTATTTGTAAATTGTTGTATCAATAATAGAACCTTTAACTAAAAATGCAATACAAATAAATTGATCTATAAAATAAAATCAGTAATAATTCCTATTGTATAATTACATATTCCTTGTTCAATTAATAAATTATTAAGATATATGACATATATTTTTGATTGTAATCTAATTAAAGAAGGTAGATTAGTTCTAGTTTTAAAGATACTTTTAGAAAATAATGAATCCTATTATGCAGAATTTATAAAATTGATAAATTGAGAGATTAAAAATTTATTATTAGATATAGAAAATATATTACAAATCATTCTATTTATTTATTAAACATTTTCTCTAAAACCTACAATATTAGTGATATTAAAAAGAATATCAATTATAAGACATATTAAAGGTTCAAAATATCATTATTTAAAGATTTTATTAAGTTTTAAAAGTAATATTGCCTATTCAGATTTCTTGTAAAATTTGATAAAATTTATTATCAGTTTGTTAACGTTAAGAAGTTTTTAAATAAAAAATAAAATAAGACTAATTACACAATGTGAATGTGGGGGTTTGAGGACCGAAGGTCTGACCCCACTTCACATTTGTATGTATAAGCCACAGAACGTTAAAAACAATATTGATTTTTCTTATTATATTAGAAGAGCTTCTATCAGCTCTAGAATCTTAATTTCAATATTATATTTCTTAATTCTGTGTGGCTTCTCCAACCTCAGAAAGCATATCGATTTTTCTTATTATATTAGAAAAGCTTCTAACGGCTCTAGAATCTTAATTTTGATATTATATTTCTTAATTCTGTGTGACTTCTCCAACCTCAGAAAGCATATCGATTTTTATTAATATATTAGAAAAGTTTCTAACAACTCTAGAATCTTAATTTCTATTATTATATCAGAAATTAATTCTGCGCGAGTTAGCTCTTTAAATAGCAAATTTACTACTTAAATCTAACGAAATAAGTCTAACAAAAAAATAAGTCTAACGAAAAAAGTCTAACCACCTTATTACCCCATAAATAAGTCTAACAGTTTTTCTTAAGTTTAACGAAAATCCATAAAATGTCTAACGAAAAAATCACGTGACGTTCTAAATCTAACGAACTTTTCTATATACAAGAATGCCTTCTGTACAAGCTAGCTCCTTAAATAGCATAATTGTTAAATAAATCTAACAGGATTTTTGTCCCAACTTTTCCTTAATCAAGAACGGGTTTAATGCAGGCTAGCTTATTAAATAGCATATTTTATATAAAAGTCTAACGAAATGTTACCCTGCAAAATCTGCAGAATTGTTCTAACTTTTCCTTAGTCAAGAACGGATTCTGCGCGAGCTAGCTTATTAAATAGCATATTAATTATAAAACTTTAACAGAAAAAATATGCTCTGCGCCTTTAGCTAAAAAAGCAAGTCTAATAAAATGCCTGTTAGACATTGCGCCCAAATTCTGGCTAAAATTAAGGTATAAAGCTAGCCGAAATGGTCTTTCCATTTATTTGCTTTACCTATTCTGGCTGACAACTATCACAATATTCTCCTTCTTCTAATTTTATCAGATGGAAGCATTCTCTGCAGAGAGTAATATTTAGCTTTGCAAGCGCATCTCTATGGGTAACCATTAATTCCTCAATAGTTCTTTCTCACATCTCTAATCGAAGTCTTTCTTGTAACCCTGATCGAAGTCTATTATAGTATCGGGTAACATAGTACCCTCTGATATGTAATGGGCATCGTCCACAAGCTGAAGCAGTAGGTTTATCACAATCAGAACAAGGTATACGTTTTTTAGCATTCTAATGGGATCGACATACTTCAGACCTAGTACTAGTATTCCCACAAGTCTTTCCGGTATTGCGAAGAAATGGGCAAGAATATTCGCCGATCATCCTACTTTTTTATTACTAGATTCAAAAAGATTAATTAATAATTAGTTAATGCTTCAGTTTTGCAATAGCTAGAACCGCTTGGAAAGCTTGTAAATACTTATCTTCAGTAGAGTTTCTATAATCGAAAAGTGATAGGTACATAGGAAATAAATAATTAAAGAAAAAATTATATAAGTAAGTAATAGAGCGACGGTTAGAGCTAACACCATGATTAGAAAAATAAGAAGTGATAAAAAAGATACAATCTGTAAACGTTGTGATCATGAATGCTCAACACCCCAAAAACTTCGAGAGCATCTTAAACGAAAAAATCCATGCAGACCTCAAACTGTTAATCAGGAAGCTATTCAGGAAGCCATTCAACCTCCTACAAAAGAGGAGTATGAAAAATATCAAATAGAAGAATTCAGGCGTTTGGAGGGATTACTAATAAATAAGAAAAAGACCTAGAATTTAGGGAGCAAAAAGAATTAGGTATGGTACTTAGAAGAAGAGCTATAGTTGTACATCACGCAAAAGTTCCAAAATCACATCCTGATAATGGAAATGATATACGAAAAATGTTAGAGAGCTGAAGAAAGCAGTTTAAGGAAGTACTAGAAAAGAAATTCGATAAGCGTGGACAATTTAAGTTTGTTCTATGTTCACTTACCAAATTTCTTATAGATGATAAGCCTGGAAGTGAAAAACAAGGAAAAAAGAATTCACAAACTGATTAGCTTAGAAATAAGCAAATTATAGTCTACAATAGAGCTGAAATAGATGACTATTTAAGCAATGCTTTCGAACAAATCTTATATCAAGTAGAGGAAAGAGGAGGTAAGTCTAATGCTTGAGAATATATTTAGGTGGTAACATTGTATCTGGCGGGGTGATTTGCAGTTCTTCTTTCACAAATAAACGTCTAGGACCATTATAAAGTTTATAGAGAACTGGTTGATTTTCTTTTATCAAATATGAATCAATCATAAAGACTTCAGGAGACCAATTACAATCAGTTGCTCTTTTTTTCCAACCTTCTAATTCACCAGGTTCTAAGAGATGACGAACTTCAGTATAACTAAATAAAAGGGATTCATTATAACCAACTGGTCTCCTATATTTGACGGAAGGTCTAGCTATTATTTTTTTACCTTTTATTGCCTTTTTTACAGCCTCGTTAGGAGACATAGCTATTAACTGAGTAGGAGAATTATTGAAAATATCATCATTTATACGAAGTTCCTTAACCCATGCTCTGGATCTATCAGTCAAAGGCAAATGAAAATATTCAGCATCTTGCCAAAAATAAGCATGTTTTTCAAATTCTTGATGATCATGTTCAGCAATAGCTATATCACGTTTAAAGTTAGCATACTGAATTCTTACATTATAACTGAGTAATAAATCTTTATATTCGCCCATATATTCAATACCTCTATCTACAATAAACCTTCAGGCGGGTTAAGAAGATCATTAGGATCATCATAAATTTTTCGAATATTCTTAACCATTTGTGCAGAAGATTTATCAGTCAATACAAAACTACGTCGATACCTAGTTGCAACATCTTTAATAACACCCCTATACTTGTAAATCTGATTACCTACTTTATCATGAGGCATAGGGGTAGTATCAGATTGGTGTACTTCATTTAAAAATTGTATATTATTAAAG